TCAAGGCCAGCCTGAACTGCACTGAGAGACCCTGTCTCAAAAAAGACAAAAAAAAAAAAAAAAGAAAAAAGAAAAAAGAAAAAGCTTGGTTAAATTTGCCAAACAGAATACCTATTATGAACTTTCAAAGGGAATTTAGTTATCATTAATCGCAATATTATTCTCTGAAAGGCATATGTGAGCTGTGTACCACCTGATCAAATACACTGTTAGATAGTTGTTTATTTTGGAACTGGGAATCGAACTCAGGACCCTGTGCTTGCCAGGCAGGTGCTGTGCCACTGAGCTATGTTCCCAGCACTGTTAGAAAACAGAACTATTCCTATTTATTAGAAAACAGAGCTAAGCATTTCGGGGGGCCTGGGGGGCTTTGGCTCATCCCCCCTTCCCTGGTGAGCTCATGGAATGCAGGCAGGAATGCAGGCAGGAGCAGGGGGGCCAGTTTCTAGTTTCCCCACCACAGTGTCCCGGCACTCGGCAGCACAGGACAGCCGGCAGCTGAGCCGCTTCACTCTGGGGACGGGGACAGGGACGGGGTGGCGGGACAGGGCAGCTGCCGAGGTGCTGTGAGGGTGGCAGGCGATCGGTGGGAGTGTGAGCGGAAGAAAGCTCCTTCCCACCCACCGTTCACCCCGAAGGCTTACACAAACTCACATTCTACTCTTCTGATACTTTACCAATGCATAAAATTCAGTCTGTTTCCATGATAGTCCTGTAACAGAGCTCTGGGCCTGGAAGTGCAGTCACACGCTGTAGCGCTGGGACGAGGAAAAGCTGCAGTCCCGCCCTGCCGTCTTGCCCATTTCTCTCTAAGTCCCTGTCCCCAGCACAGCACTGTTTTCTTCTCGGAAATGAGTACAAGAACCAACGCTGCGAGTCAGCCAGCTTCCCCACACTTCTCAAAATAAAGCACCTCAGCCAGTAAGGGGGTGGGGCTGACCAAGCCCCGAAACGCGCTCCCACGCGCCCCGCCCAGCACGCGGACCTTCTGTTACTGCACGGTGCCACAGGGCCCACCGGGACCAGAACCCTCATCAACAGGGCTTCAGGGCTCCAGGGTGAGCTGAAACCCATTTGCTGTCTTGGTGTCAAGGCCAGACTTGACTGCTGAGCTAGACTCAGGTCTCCCAACAGCCAGTGTGCTAGGTTCCCATTCATACCTCAGGGTACTGAGATCGTCATTTTTGTTGTTTTTTGACACAGGGTTTTGCCATGTTGCCCAGACTGGTCTTGAACTCATAGAGATCCTCCTGCCTCAGCCTCCTGAGTGCTGGGATCACAGGCATAGTGAGGATTTTAATTTCATACTCAGTGTAGACCATAGGGAACTCTGTATACCCACTCTGGGAAGATACATTAAAGGAACCTGAGGTCTGTGGAAAGCCATCTAACATTTTAATCTGGTCAGACAGAAGTACTGGCCTCACCACAGGCCTCCTCAGAACAGCTGCTAAGAGTGTGAAATCAAGGGAAAAAGAAGTCACCTCTGTCTTACTTGAAGGAAAAGTAATACACACAGAAGAAACAAGCTAACCTCAAAGTACTTTCCAGGATCAAGGGCAGCAGACATAACTTCTTTACGTCAGACTCAGAAACTAATACTGTCTTGTAGATCTTCCAACGAGAGGGTATGATTTGAACCTTGTAAAGCTTTTCCTTTTCCCCCTATATTCTCCGCCTGTCCTTCGGAATTAAGATTCCTGCTCACCCCTAGACTATTCAATCCCCTTCCTTTCTGGATCCCAACCTGCTCATCAATTCCACTCTGAAAGAGTACAAGTTCACTCCCAGGTGGGCACGAATTAAGTAACAAAGGGCATATTTATACGCTCTCTCACCTCTTTTCCACTACTGTAGCCAGGGACTAAGCCAGGTATCCCCATGCTATGACCAGAAAAGCTACAAATCTGAGGGCCATGTAATTTTCATGGGTCATTTTATGGCTTCTGTCTAGATGTTCCCCCAAAGCCTCATGCGGTCATAGGTGGGGGTTTTTCAGAGATGACGAAATCTAGAGTGTGTGACTGATTCACAGTGCAACGCTAGGCTTAGAGGTGCTAGGATTAAGGATGGGTGATTACCACATCAGTGCACTGACTGGCTTGGCGCTGCCCTAATCCTGGCAGCCTAGACAGACAGAAGGGACAGAAAGAAGTTTGTCTTGTCCCTTGCTTGCTCCGCTGCCTTTTGGGAGTCACGGGCTGCTTCTCCTCTGCAATGCCCGTCTGCCGTGCCACCCTGCCTGGAGCCAGCAGACTGTGGACTGAAACCACTACCAACTGAGCTAACTAAGGCTCTCCTCCTCCTTTAACTTGGGGTGTCAGGTATTTTGTCTCAGCAAGAGAGAAGTAACTAAGACAATCACAAATTATTCCTCTTTTAATTTTTCAGCTACTTGAAATTGTGACAACCATTCTTAGGTTATGGGTCATACAAAAACAAGCTGTGGGCTAGATTCAACCCAAAGGCTGTAGTTTACTGATCTCTGATTTAGAACCCCCACACTGCAAAGCACTTTACTGAATAAGTTCTGTTTTACATAATTCTATTATTATTTGACTTAGACTTCTCTCTTATTTAATTAAAAAGTATAATGTATTTCAATTAATCTCTTTGTTCCACTGTAAGGATTTTCTTGCATCTGCCTTGGTCAAATGATAAATCCTTTATATAATATGAGAGTTGTTTACCTAAATATCTTTTTTTCTTCCTTTTTTTTTTTTCCGGTACTGGGAATCAAACTCATGACCTTGTGCTTGCCAGACAGGCGCTGTGCTGCTGAGCTAAATCCCCAGCCCCTACCTAAATATCTGAACATGTATATGTTATATAATATTGTCCTTTCAAGGGCAATTTGTCTAGAATCTCTGGTTATTATACTTTCCCTTTGTTCCAAAGTAATAAGATCTATTTCTCATATCTCCCAGTATCTTAGGTGCATGAATGCTTTACTGAAAAAGGAAAATAGAATAAACAGTCAAAGGAATTAGTGACAGTTGCTTAAGGCAGAGAGATGAATATAACTATCAGTGCCTTTCACAAACCTTCTATCTCTAAAGGGAGTAAGACAGCCAAGCCTCTGCGTGGAAGTTGAGATTAGGTCCTGGTCAGTTACCAAGAAACAGGAATCAAATATGAGAAGGTAGGAGGAAAGCATTTAAAATGAAAAGAGTAAGACCCCTTTCCTCTTGGAGGCAGGAGACCACACAGAACCCTCATGGGGTGGTAGGAAGAGCCACCCGGTGGTCTCTTCTGCCCTCCACCAGCTGAGAGATGAGGACCCCCCTCAAACGTCTCTAGGCGAGGCTGAGTGTGTATGTACACTAGGTACTGCACCCGAAATACCTGATCTAAAAAGAGACGGGTCCACATCTCTTTTGCTAGTATTTTGTAAGCTTGTCATCAGTACTACCATCAACGGTCTAGGTCTCTCTACTGCCACAGTAAAGAATTATGTGGAAATTATACAGAGAATTTAGGTGAAAAATACAGGCTATCTGGGTTTTCCTCTTCACATCTTCAGAGGCATGTACCCCCTAACAAAGGCCATGTCTGCATCTGCTTCTGCCACTTGTCATAACCACGCTGGGCTTTACGCGGCACCACACTGAGCTTGACGGGGCAGTGGCGCAGGACACACATAAACTTCAGATGAAAGGATCCGTTGAGGAAACAAAGCACGTTTCTGTTTTTTACCTACTTATACAAGCTTACAGGCCTGACGCTCACTTTTATGGCTAAACCTGAATGGGAAAGCAAATTTATTTTAATATATTTGCTTGCAATGCAAACTACTCCATTTTCAGACTTACCAGGAAAAATGAAGTTGTAAACTTGTACTTTTAGCTTGTGAATTCCGTGTACATGACATACAGTATGGTATTTATAAAAAGGAAAATTGTTTTCAACATGATTTACAAAATCAGTACTTCATCCTTCATTAGGATCATGTTAAGAGCACTGCAGGCCTTAATCTGTCATCAAAAGATGAATAAAAGGAATATATTCAACTAATTTACTTCATCTTTTTTTTTTTTAACCATTTTACCTTAAGAGATAGGCATCTTTATATAGTGACTCTGAAAATTAAGGAAAACAACAAATGCAGGATTTACATTTCTAGTTGTAAGATAAACAAAAGAGTGGCCAACTCTAACTTCAATGGCTTCACAAGCCTCTGGCGGTACCTGTTTTATCGGCACAGAGTAACGCTAAGTCCCGTATCTCTGAGCTGCGTCAGGGACAAGGCTCATGTGCTGAAGAAGGTACAGCGTTACAACTATGCGGTTCCATGGTTCACCTTGGTTGTCCACTTGACTGGACCGAGGAGCGCCTGGGACGTTAGCAGAAACGCTTCCGGGTGTGTGTGAGGGAGGCCCCAGAGACGACTGGCGCGGAGCACAGCAGGCCAAGCAGGGAGACCCACCCGGATGTGGTAGCTCGGCCAAGAGGCGGGGCCTGGATGAGACTAAGGTGGACAGAGGAGGGAGCCCCCAGCCTGGGCTCTGCCGTGGCAGCCAGGAGGAAAGCAGCTTTCCTCCACCACACCCCGCGGCCATGTTTCTCTGCCTCACCTCGGGCCTGACAGCGATGGGGCCACCCGGCCACAGGTTCATAAAATACGAACCTTCTGAAACCACCAGCCACAACTACCCTGTCCTAAGTTGCTTTCCTGTCATCTGTCACAGCATCCAAAAGCTGCCTACGGTACCGGGAGAAATATGGCAGTAAATCCACCCCGTATACAGTTTCTTATTTACTAAGACCTCAAAACACTACGCAGAAATGTTATGTGCCAGTCTTTGAAAACAATGGTCCTATATGTCAAAACAAGAAGTACATGGAGGAAGAAACCAATAAACATTTGAAGAGTTCTCAAAACGAAGCGTTACCCTACATGGTCATACAGAAAAAGGCCTGTAGAAGTCTAAATCCACTAGGAGAGGGCAGAAAACGTTAAGTCTTACTAGTTTCGCTTGGATGTGAAGCATTATACTTACATCTTGTCTTGGCCAGCACCAACTCGCAGAGTCAATCTGGGGATAACTGGACTTGGGGCTGGAACGACCGGTTCCACTTTTATCTGTGGAAGTTAGAACACCACAAGTCAATACAGTTCCTAACCCTCCCAAAGTGCCTACTAGCGCTTCTGCTTCTCAACCCTACAAACTTAATAAACAAATGTAAGCCACAAATAGGGCTAACATGCTAGACACAAAGACAATCTGGGCTATTCTATGTTTTGTTCTCAATAACTGAAGGCTACCTTACATCGTGAGAAATTTTATGAAATTTAACCACAATATGTGCATAGGGCAGTTATTTCTGTTTTACTCTTGCGTTCCATTACACTGTTGGGATTTTTAAACAACAATTGATATTTAGAGCATTTGGTAGAATATTTACATAACTGCCACATTTAACATAAATAGAAAAACCTTCAATGATATTTTCCTTTTAAGAGGAAATGCACCTGTTTATGGGACTTGACAAATGTTTTTTTGTTTTTGTTTGTTTTTCTCCGGTACCGGGAACCGAACTCACGACCTTGCGCTTGCCAGGCAGGCGCTTTTGCCGCTGAGCTAAATCCCCAGCCCTGGGACTTGACAAATGTTAAACTCATTGTTAAGTTTGCTTTAGCACATGAGAAAGCTGAAATGCCAACTGTAACTACAGCATTGCACTATTCCACTTTTGGCTAACAGTAAAAAGATATAAAATGCTGTGAAATAAAATACTGTATTTTGTCTTAGGAAGGATTTGTAGTGATTCCTGAAAAAGTTGAAGAACTCACAAATACTCACACTATTAGAAAAAAATATGGAATCAAGTATCACATTAGAGTCTTCACAGTTTTTCACTTGAACACCTTATGGTGTAATAAGTATTTTGAATAAGCTAAACAAAAACTCTATGGCTCCAGGTTATTATTTACATCCATTTTCAGTGGGGGCTTGCCTGGCATTTTCGATTATTCTTTGCTGTATGGGACTGTTCCAGGCACTGACAGATGTTCAACATCCATGGTCTTGGAATACTTTGTGAGAGCAGTTTACTGCTACCCAATGACAACGAGCTACAAATCACTGATTATGTACTTTTAAGAATTAAATCATAGGGCTAGGGGTTTAGCTCAGCGGCAAAGCGCCTGCCTGGCAAGTGCAAGGTCGTTTCTTCGGTTCCCGGTACCGGAGAAACCTCCCCCCCTCCAAAAAAAAAGAATTAAATCATAATGTAAGTGTGCTGGTTCTAGCACTGCTCAGTACATTCCATCACACAGTGATTTGCACATGGATCAAATCTACTACTCTCTTACGTATTTACTTATCTCCTCCTCCACGAGTTTTGTTTAATCTACCACCACATCAAGGTCTGCTTTGACCAGCCTCTTGCGCAGTGCCTGGCGTGTACGAGGTGCTCAATAAACATTCTTGAATCAGCACCTTATCCTGAATGTCCCCTCATCTCTCATGTCTTTTGAGTATTCCACCGGTCATCCACGACCAACCTACAACTATCCAGAGCACTATGTGATCCGAAAGAAAACTTTCTGCCTTCTACTATCAGTTTGCTTGGATTTCCCACTCACTCAGCTATGGCTGACACCAGGTCTGTCTTGTTTATTGCTATTGCCCAGTATCGATTAAATACTTAAGACACATCTAAAGCACAAATACGAAGCAATGACCCTAAAATTTTATGAAGACCACGGCCTTTTTGCTCAGCACTCCCCACAGGAAGAAGTATTGAGGCCACTAGGCAAGAGAACTTCAACTCCTTACAAACAGACCTTTCTGCATCCTCAATTACAACTATAGCCCATTTCCTCTGGTTTTTAAAGAATATTATTCATTGATTAGCTTAATTATTTAGAGTATCTTCAACCTATCTAGTCAATTACTTTTAAACGTGTTCAACTCTATCTTTAAAAAAAAATTACCTTCCCTTCAACCTCTGCCTCATAAGCCCTCACACTTTTGTCTTCACTATTCCTTTATCACTTCACTGTCTCTGCTCCTCTGCTTATTATTATTCCTCAGCCCATACCAACCCTGCTTCTTCCCCACACAGGTCATGCAAACCCCTCCTCAGAGACACTAACCACTCCCTGCCGACCCAGGGCGTTTCCCGCTAGAGGTCTCAGATCCTTCCTCCTTACGAAGTCCTCTACTTTCGCCAGACCTTGCTTGTTCCTCTCATCACTCGAGCTTCTTTTGCGATCCCATCCATTTCCATCGTTTCCACTGTGGGTTTTGAATGTTTTGTCTTCAAAATTTTCCTTTCTAGACTACCCCTGATTGAAGCTCAGACCAAAAGGGAAAGCTGTCTACTGAACATTACCCACTAGCTATGCCGTAGGTATTTTACCTCACCACACACACTCTTTGTTTTTTTTGAGTGCTATGGATTGAACCGCGGACCTCGCGCACGCTAGGCAAGCGCACGCCAACCCAGATCTTAATTTACCGAAGCCTCCACCACGCGCTGTCCAGTGCAGCGCTGTCCCTGCTGGCGGAGGTCTCCTTCATTTGCCAGTTCTGCAACACAGTGCAGGAGACGCTTCTCACGGCCCCTGAGAGTCAAAAGTCACTCAGTGGCGTGGAGAAGACCCACGTGTCAATTATCTAGGTTTCCTGTTCTTTGTGTTCAGTTTCTCCTCTTAGGAGGGAGGACAAAGCATCCACAGCTAAGCAGATCTGAAAACCTAGGTCCAGGCTGTGTTTTGTACACTACTGAGACTTCTATACTTTTGTTACCTTTTATGTTATCCGTAGGTGAATAAATACAACCAAAATTAAAAAACATTTACAACCCACTTAGACTTTGCCTGGTATTGTACTTGATTATTTCCCAAATATTTATATTTAGATTTTTTTAACAAGCAAGTGGGGCAGATATTATTGGCTTTGTTTTACTCCATATATGGAGTAACCACTTTTTTTTTCATTTTGTTTTCCTACTTAATTTGAAGGTTATTCAAACAGCAAAACCGGATTGAATATGGTCTTCTTGAAGAGAATAAAAATATTATATAAATTATACAAATTTCCCATGTTTGTTCAATTCTAAAAATTTTAGGTTTGCACATTCATAGGTGATGAGGTATTAAGAATATTCCTTTTTAAATTAATTTTTAAACTGACAAATAAAAACATAAAAAACTGTATAAACTTATGGGGTACCATATGATGTTTCAATACATGCACACACTGGGTAGTACTTACATCAACATAAACATACCTCTATTCAAATATTTGTATTTATTTATTTTTAATTTTTATTTTTTGCAGCACTGGGGATTGAACACAAGCACTCTATCATTGAGCCATACCCCAGCCCCATTTATCATTTCTTTATAGTGAAAACTTTCAAAATTCTTTTGTTTAGCCTTTTGAAATATACAGTACATTATCTGTAGCCACCCTACTACACATCAGGAGACCAGCACTTCTTGCTCAGTAATCCTTCTTCAACTCACGATACTATTGTTTCAACACTTAACACTTTGTAAAGCTTTTTATATTTAAATAAAGCTGTTTCCCATATGTTTAAAAATTCTGAGCCAGGCATGGTGGTGCAGGCCGGTAATCCTAGCACCGGCGGCTAAAGCAGGAGAGGATCCTTGTGAGTTCAAGACCAGCCTGGGCTACAAAGTGAGCTCAAGGCCATCCTGAGCTGCACAGTGAGACCATCTCAGAAAGACAGAAAAAACAAAAAAACAAAAAACTGTATTACTATTAATTTGCTTTGGAGTGTGCGTTTGGCCCACTTCTTTACCACACTGCACAGTAATTGTAACTTACACTTGTACACTATTTCACCAAATATGTCCCACACCCCATATACATTACCCAACTTGATCTTCACAACTCCATAAGGAAGGTGTGGAGGGTAAAATCATCCCCACATAATGAAGGGCTCAGGAAAATTAAATGGTCTCGGCAGAGTTACAAAGTTAGTAAATAAAGGCCTAACTCCTGGCCTCCTGACACCAAATTCACCTTTTCCACCATATAGGTTCTTGATTCTCCGACATGAAACTGTTTATATTTTCTGCAAAGCTCTCGCATGATGAATTACATATTCTTTGACATGGCTAGCATTAGTTGTAAAATGTTTTTTCTCTATAGAAGGCTAATTTATATGGAAATTGAGATAAATTTTGCCATTCAACTAAACTAGTTGGGTTTTTGAGGCTGTCTTAAATGAGTCTTTGGCAGGGCAAATGAGTCAAGTCATCGACTACTTATAACCTATTACTTAAAAAGTTAAATGATATAATATGTAAGAAATAAGCAAACTAAATAATATACTTTGTAAGTCACTAAAGTTGGTATGAATGTGCCCTGAAAACAACAGGTACTCACTCAACTGACTGAATTAATGAATAAATCTGTTACCTCAGCTCAAAACTGTATCTGTAATTTCAGTGACCACATCATCCAAACAGAGACACCTCTGTAAAGAAGGAGCTATTAATTATGCCATAAAATGGATGTAAACTGCGATTGCTTTAGGCAAAGTAAAACCAATAGTAACTTTGCCTACAAACTAAGATAGCACTTTAATTTTATTCTTGAGTAAATTAAATTACATTTAAGTTGAAAATATTCAAGGGAGTGTAGAAAAAGATCAGTAAAAATTTTTAAAAAGAGAAAGATTAACAAGGATGCTAATACTATAAATACAGAACATATAATTTCTAAATAAAAATTTCTTCCAAGATTTTAATGTTAACTTTATCTGCTTACAGAAATACAGAGAAACTTTCTACAAATACAGTATAAAATAATGTCTTATATCTATTTCCCAGGAAACAACAAATTAAATGACAGTTACTTCCATTACTTAAATAATAGGACATATGCCATCTTTTAATGGCATGAAGCCAAAATCTGGGGACAACCTGAGTTTGTAAGGGTTAAAATAAAAGAACAGCACTTTGGAGTAATGCTGAGAATTGGGGCGAGCAGAAGAGCATTTACAGTGGATTACTAAGCTTCCCAATTCACCAAAGAGGTAAAGTCCAGCAATATAAGACTCCTTTGTAGCTAACTAAAAATACATTGTCAGTGGATTTGT